ACCAAGAAAAACAGATTCATGTTGACTTTAATTGGTGCTCTGGAAGAGATGGGCTGTTATGACAGTGGCCTGGGAAGTTTGAGCTCTGCATGTTTTTTCAGCTTTCAGCCACCGCTTTAAACTGGGAGGACACGGGGTTGAATGGGAAAACACTCAGCACCAGTAAAACCAACACCACCCCAGCTTCTGTGGTCTTAGGATCCCAGAAGCAGGAATATACCAGGCAACAAGTAGCCCCCTTCCTTCCTGGCTGGTCAAGGGCCACTGCTGCCCAGCTTGTGAAGCCAAAGCCTGAGCTGACCCACCATGCTTCATGACAACTTTGTGGCTGTTTTATCTGCTTACAGTAGCAGTATGATCCCTGAACAGAACAGTGTGTGTCTGTGTGTGTGTGTGTGTGTGTTCAGCCGGGTGGGGAGGGTGGGATGGTGACATCAGACAACTAATCCTACAAATGTTAGACTGCTACTGCCACCTACTGTCCCATCCCCGTTGGCTTAGAATGGTGTAGTATTTAGTGAGTCATCCAAGAAATGCTATTTCTCATTTTGGAAAAACACCGTATCTCAGCAGGACATTGCACTGTTATCTGTTCTTCCTAGAAATATGATGGGCCCCTTAAAATTAAAGTCATATGCATTCCTTATTAAAAAAAAAACCCACTCCAGCCATCCCATTATTGCTGACCATTGGAATTTGTTATGTATAATTTACATTCTTTCCCATACTTGCTGTTTTTCAGATGGGAAGGGCAGAGCTTTAGGGCCTCTCCAGATTGTAAATCACATTCCTGCAGGCAGAGGGAGCTGACAGCAGGAACAAATTGCCTTTGAGGTTGAGAGCATACGTCAACCCTCCAGAAAAAGAATTCCATTGCAGAGGCAGAAATCTGTGTCTAGGGATGGTAACTTAACCCACTCAGGTCATGGCTACAAAGGGATGGAAAAGCTGTGGACAGACTCTAATTGCCAGCACCAGTAATTTTTCTAGCAGTCAACATATGGAGAGTGTATTGGCAGTTTGGTCATCTCAAATGAAGGCAACCCCAGAGGTCCAGAGATCTGAATCTCTTTGAAAAGAGGAAGGGTACATAAAGAGTGTGATTCTCCAAAGATCTCACTGCCCACCAGCCACCTGCAGGCTGATGACTCGGATTGGGGGGCTGTGGGTAAAGACATGATGGCTGCCAGATGATGGAGAAACGGGACAGGAACGTAGCATTATGTCCAGACATCTGGAAGAAGAGCCTTGGGGTCCTGGATTGACCTGACAGCTCCCTTTTGGTCCAGTGCCTAAGGGCAAGGCCATCTCATCCTAGAAAATAGCCAGATACCACTGAACTGACAGGACTCACAGAACACACATGTGAGGATCTAGGACAACCCTTCCTCTGGAATTGGGCTATTTCTCTGGCACTTGGCAAACATGTGAAGCAAGCCCTGTGTTCTGGAGGCTATGGGGAAGACAGGGGTTCTAAGAGCGACATCCAGAGTTATTTCAGAGGTGCCTTTGTCTTGAAGACTTGTTTTCTGTGGTGCTAAAACTTTATTCTCTTGCAGCTGGATCCAGGTATTCTCCACTTTAAGAGACAGTGGAGGCAAACAAGAGAACTTAAGTCTTCCCCAGTTGTACCTGTCTAGAAAGATCCTCATTAACCTGTGGTATAGAGCAATCTGACTGGCGAGAGCAAATACAAGTAGGCCTTTGTTATGGCAGTGGGACAAGTCAGGGGTTCAGTACACATTTCTAGTAGGGAGCTTTCTGTCATCCTGCGTGCAATTTGGTCCTGTAGTTAAGGGTATTGTATGTATCTTACATACAGTGATGTAATTTTTTTGGTTCTTTTGTATGAGATTTTAAGAAACAGTTTCTTTTAAACACAACACAAACCTCATTTCTTGGGGTTTGTGAAGTCAGAGATTCCTTCATTTAGCATCCAGAAAAGGGAGGGGGCTCTCTACCTTGGAACAGGAGCATCTGACTACTAGAGAGGGTGTGAGCATTTGGCAGAAAACCTTCCTGCTGTCCCAGGAGGCCACTGGAGCCCACACTATGCAGACCCTTATAGTTTCAATAGCATAACATCCCAGTACCAAAGAAAATGCAATAATTAACATATGGTCTTACTACAATACGTAAGCATGAGTCCAGACAGCTAAAGAGATTCCCCAAGCTGGTTAACTCAACTGGGCAGCAAAGCCCTCTAGCAAATTCTATTTTCTCAGTGATTCTCCCGATCCTTATTAGGCTTGGGGGGAAGGGATGTGCTAATACCCTCCTCTCCAACTTAAGAGGGCAGTCATGCTGGGGGCTGGGAAGTCTTTGCTAGGACTGTGGGCAGGCAGCTGGCTTGACGCTCACTTCTCTAGCTAGTAAGGTACAATGAACATAAAGACCAGCTTTCAACATGAATACTGAGATACCAGATAACAAAGAGTTGTAAGCTACTCTGAGCCACACACATGAAGCCTTGATGGGACCTGGGCCATAGCAAACCTTTGAACAGTGTGGGAGTGTGGTCAAAAATATGTCACCTCACAGGTCAGGAAGCTTTAAATTTCTATCCAACAAGCCAGGTGAGGTGGTGCATGCCTGTAACCACAGCACTCAGGAGGCTGAGGTAGGAAGACTTCTGTGAACTCATCACCAGCTTGGCTACATAGAAAACTCTAGGGTTTTTCCGTTTTTTCAATCCATCCAATACATTGCAAGAAAAGAATAGCAAGGTAGACAAAGTCACAGGTGAAATTTTTAAAGTGGACCAAAGGCATTTTTGGTGGACATCAGAGACAAGGAAAATCTTTTACAATTCAGCATGCCTACAAACTAAACAATTCAAGTCCAGCCATTTTCCTCTTCTTTTGTAGACAACAATAATAGTTCCTTTAAATGATCTGGGAAGAGAAAAGAGGCCATCTGGGTGGGAGGTGAGGCAAAAAAGAGAGTAATGAGGAATATGATCAAAGTACATTGTATACATATGAAAATGACTTTATGAAACCCATTACTTTAAATAATCAATATATGCTAACAAATTAAGTTTGCAGAAGAGCAAAATTAAAAATCCATATTTATTTATTGTATCAAATTCCAAAGTCTGACTAAAAAGAAATATTATAACCTTTACTGTGACCATCTCACCACAAGGTTTAGAATATTTAAAAATTTAGTAATTATGGATGAGCAGTAAGATTGTGGCCATCACTATCAGCCATTCCAATACTGACTACAGAGAACCAAATCTCAAATATAACCTTGGGAACATGCACACACATAAAGAAGAGGTGTCCCATTGGCTGGTGGGATGCAGGAGCCAGAGGTCTTTTTCCATCACAGAAGTAGGAAATATAAAGTACAATATTCCACCCGTGGGATTTCTGGATGTTTAAGTCACACTCACCTGGTAAACTCTGTGGTGTGCCCTCAGTCCTGTGACAGTCACTGAGCACAGCCGATGGATGCTAAACAGTGTTTAGAATCTGCTCCCAAAGGTCCCACCTTCTTATTTCCCACCCAGCAGTAAGCCTTCCCCTTCTCTGTCCAACCTCCCTACTAGTCACTCTGTGAGGGCCAAACATTCTAGAAATCCAATTCCAATTCCAAGATGCAGGCCTTAACAAAGCAGGTATCATTTCTCAGGATGCTCTGAGGCAAGTGGCTTCTGAGTGGGGACCAAGAAGGCTGGGACTGATATAACCAATTTTACTTTTGGGGGGTGAGGACTTGATTTCCATCTTCACCACAGAGGCAGTCCCAGTGAAGACTGGCATTTACCAGAAGCTGGGTATCATAAAAATGCTCAACAGGGCAGTGAAACATCTGATCACGGGCGGGAGAGCAGTTGGTCGAGGCTTCTTTATGAACGGTGAAAGGGACAGGAGGGAAGGGAGAGAGACCTTTAAGGACCGAGGACGACAAACGGGAAGAGGGTCTGACACTCAGTGCAGTATGAATTAGGGAGAAAGACACACAAAAAAAGTTTCCTCCTGTTTTATGCCCTCAACAGTGGTGTTTTTAAAGACAGCAATTTGCCAAGGGGGTCCTGAGGTGACTTACAGTCACTACTCACAGAAGGATGCCTCTGGGACATGCATTCTACTTCTATCAACCTGGGATCACTTTCCAGATTTGGGGGAAAATGTAGAGGCCAGGGCCAGTGGTATCGTGTAGAGGAGTAATAGTAACACAGACATGGCAAGTGTTGGTTTGGTCATTACAGCAGCTAAGAGCACTCACTCCAAGGGAAAAAACAAAAGTTTGAACTCAACATTCTTTCCTAGCTGTTTCCTACAAAGCCAGAGAGGAAACATTGCTTCATGTGCACTTTGGTTCTTGTGCCATACCACAGCAATGCCAAGTTCACCATCAACTCCGCAGGCACTCAACTGTCTGTCTGCAGGAAATGGGCATGAGCCCCTTTGGAGGGGCTGAGCCACCCACCAGATGAGTCCTACGGTACCAGACCCAGGTCTCCTGGAAAATGAACTTGGAAACCCTCGAAGACACACCATAGAACCTATAAGAGGGAATACAAATTTGGGGGCTCATCAGAATTGCACAGAAACAAAACGAATTTGCCTACCTGAAAGGTGATGTTTTAAAGTCATAGCTATGTTCATAAAAGCTCTTTTGATGGAATGGGGAGAAGGCCAAAGTGGTGGAGCAAAGCTCTTGTCTACCACACAAGAGGCCCTGGGTGCAATTCCAGAACTGCGAGAAAAGGGAAGGGAAATGGCAGGTAGTGTATGCAGTGTGCACTGCTTTGCCTCCCTTTAAACACTTTCGTGGGAC